ATGGGCTTATATGTCCCGAGGTGTGATTTCAGAGCAATTATTCAGAACTTTAAAATAAAGCACGTTCCTAAGTGCCCTCCTGTCTCTCTGGCTTATGTTCCAAAAAATACTGTTTAGTATTAGAAGACGCTTTGAATTATTCACCATTTCCTCCGTTTAAAAATGGCAGCAGTGTCACACAGCTATATTCAGTACTGAATCCTCTAATCAGCTAATTGGTCCCGTGTCTCTGGTACTGCAAGTCAATCCGTTGTGATGAGACCTAATGAACTTAGTTTGTGGCACCAATAAACACCTGATGTTTCCATATGTATGGCTGAGACAGACATTGTGAAATAAAGGGCCACATTTTGGAGACGTGTGTGCAGTGTCTGCACTGATTTCAAGCCAGCTATTGCAGACATCTAACTACCCTGAAGCAGAATTCTCCCAAAAGTTATACATCCAAGTGTCTGAGATGCTCAGAACACAAAGTATGAATTATAGGATGGCTGAGAAAAACAATAAGGAAAATAAGAATAAAAATAACAAAGATAATAAAAAATAAGATATGCCTTTGTCAAATATAACTACTGTGGTCTTGAAAGCCATCTGTGTGTATCTGCCCCCGTTTGCTTTGCTCTCCACTAACATGCACAGTTTTTTTACATTGGGATAAGCTGAAAACGGGGCCTGGCATTAAGTGTCAGCTCAGTTAGGCAGAGATTTCTCACAAAGGCTCAATGCCATTCATGAGTGCAGTTATCAAGCACTGCTTTGCTAGCTGCAGATACCTCTGTCTGCCTATGTGTGTCAAGCCCAGACCAGTGCATGTAAAGGCCTAAAGGAGAGACAAGGCTGAGGTCGGCATCTGGGCCCTGTTGCAGTGCCGTTCTGTTCACCTCATTTTCCTGCGGGGTGCCTGGACACGAGGACAGGCTGGAGCCTGTGCTGCTCCCATCAGCTCCCACCAAAGGAAACACTGCTGAGCGCTGTGGGGTGGTCAGAGTCGCGCTGCTGGTGGTGCCTGTTCTGGGGAAGGGCTGGACAGCTGAACCTCCCTGCTGCCCAAACCCCGTGTGCCCCAGGGCTGGGGGCTGCGAGGGGCCCACAGGGCAGAGCAGCCATAGGCAGGGCAGGAGGCTCTGGTCCCCAACCCTAGGAGTGGAAATCTCGCTCTGCCCTGTGCAGTGCTGCCGGCTTCTGCCTGAGGGTCCCCCAGACCCTTTTCTCTTTTGTGAACAACAATACTTATTATGCGTCAAAAACGCTGTGGATTTTGCAAAGTTTTAGGAAGAGTGGAAGGTGGGAAGGGCTCTTGCAGCACATGGATGATTTCATAGCAGCAGCCTGGAAAAGAGCTTCCCTACTTCAGTGATAGACATCTATCTGTGTGTTGGCCAGAGAAGGGAGAGCTCCAGCAGACAGAGTCAACCGCCAGAGGGGCAGGGATCTGATGGAAGCCAAAGAGACCAGCGTGCAGGGCAGAGGGCACGGCAGGGCTGGAGAACCAAAGCACGCTGCCCACGAAGGGCCCTCCAGTGGCCAGAGCATCTTTAGATGCAGATGGTCGGGAGTTGAGCCTGCTGCCCAGCACACAGCCCTGTGTGACCACGGCTGCTTGCCAGTCTGGCCCTTCCTACTGGTTTCAATCCACGGAGACTGGCCCCGAGCTCTCCACAAAGGCATGGAGATGCCAACAGCCAAGTACCCCCACCCTACCAACCAGCACTGCAGCCAACTGCCCACCTCTCTGTCACCACACTCACAAATTAACCAAATCCTAAATAGCTACAGACTGGGATCAAAAGTAGATACAAGGACAGCATGGCAGGTCTTCTCTCTAAGTGAGCCCTATGCCAGTATTAGAAGAGAAATCATTCCATCCAAGTCAACATGTAAGTTTAGGGAATCTAAAACTAGCCATGAGTACACCTTTTCTATACAGCATTTTTCTTTTTAAAATACTGCCATATAGGAATGTATAACCATAATCTTGCCAGTCTGGCCTGAAAACCTCCTGGTCCCGCTCATGGTGTGCAGAGGCCAGCTCTCCCACACTCATGGTAATTTCTACCTCTTTGATAGAATGGGATTAATCTTGACTGTGTGGTGTTTGTGCCAATCCTGGACTTTTTAAAGTGCGCAGAAGCATAAGATAAAAAGCCACCAGAACTGGCGTTATGAAGCTCCATAAGGCTGTGCAAGGCAGTGAGCTGCTGGTGAAAGAAGGGCTTTTTGCAGATCCTGGGTGACCAGCACACAGCCTCCCAGCTCCAGGTAAGAAAGTTACAGCACTCGGACAGCCAGAGACAAGACGCACCACTACTGCACCGCCTGAAATCTCAGCTTTGGGAGAACAATGCTCTATTTCTCATTGCGTGCTGTAGTTTACAAGATGTGCCCTGTGTTCATATAGATAAAATAAAGCAAGGGGAAAAAAAAAACAAAACAAAAAACCAAAAAAACAAGGATGATCATCTAATTTTTAACGAGGACAAACAGAGGGACTTGGAGGGGGATTTTTGAGAAGAGCGTTCTGATCGGTGTGCTGGGTAGCAGAACACATTCTGGGGAAGATCAAGCTGATAAGGGGGGAAAGTTAAACATATGTGGGTAAAGAAGTGCCTCCTTGTACAGAAGAAATTATGGAGATGAGGAAGGAAGGCAGGTACTTCTCAGATACTGAACAAGACTTTCAGCTTCCTCTTGCTTCCAGCTCTAAAGACATGAGCAGAGTAAGACAAAGACAAACACTTCGTGTGAAAGGCTCCTGGCAAGCAGAAACTCCTTGGCAGAAAACCAAATGTGCCACTGCTCTTTGCTGCCAACATGAGGCTGGTGCCCCATCTCACCTCCTGACACTTCTGAGGAACTTACCAGGATCTGGGAGAGTTTCTTCCCTGCGACTCTGACTCACAGGGCTTCAGGCTGGGAAGTGAGCTCTGGGACATAGGTGTACCCCAGTACTCCGGGACATTACCCTGCCACATGCTGGCCCAGCATCACGCTAATGTCCCAGAGGGAATCCCAAGCCGCCAGCACACCTGCAAGCCATGCTGTGGGCTGTGCCTCCCCCAGCCCCGTTCTTCACAACTCTTTGCCCCCATGTTTCTTCCCAGACCTCTGTGTGCCTCCCATGAAGGGAGAGACAGCACGAGGGCTGTGCAGGGAGCTCCCACACCTCAGGCACCGGGGCAGACATGCATGGAGAGAGGCACGAGCAGAAAAACCCTTTAGCAAAGAATTGCTGAACATTGGTCCTTCAGCAGGGAGTGTTTGAGCTGCCAATGCTGCATAAACAAACAGCCTGCTTGCAGCTTTCTACACACCAAAAATACTTGGTGTAAACATTGGTCATACAATAACAGTGGTGGTTTGTTTTCTCATGGAATGGATTCATACGTTCATTTTTAAAAATCCTTTTTTTTTTTTTTTTTTTTTTGTATTGTCAGCTCTAGCAACAAATGAGAAGTGGGACAGCTGTATTTAAAAGCTTTTGCAGAATAAATGTTTCCTCTTTTCATGCCATTGCTGTGGGTATCAGGGCTGTGCCTGTGGCTGCACCCAGCAGTGAGCTGGGGGCTGTGCACCCCTGGGAGCACAGCAGGACCTGCCCACATTGCTGTGCCAACTGTACGGACTTCTGAAGGACCAAAGGCTGTATTTTCACAATGGACCTCTGATTATTTTACTGGCCTTACACAGCAACTGCCATGCGCTTCTTTTGTTTACCAGCAGAAGATGGTTGCTTTTCAATGAAAGCAGAGACTGGCAGAAGAAAATCTGACGTTTCTGCAGCAGCACTGATGTAGCATGACCTCAGCATTCCCCACGTGCACTCAGGTTTGCAGGATATGACGTGAACTCCTGTGGGTCTCTGTGGGAATACAAGAAAAACTGTTCAGAGCAGCCGCTGTGGAGCAAGATTAACAGCATGAGAACCAAGGACACCTCTAGAAGAAAGAATGTCTGACAGCTCTGATTGGAGAAGCGCCTGTGTGAACGGTTGAAGAGTGTTTGTCGAATGCTCTGCTGGCATGTAAAGGTGGATGGGGAAGTTGTAAAGGTGGGTGGGAAAGCTAAAAAAAGAAAACTTGTGAAGGTATGTAAGTGATGTGAGAACTCGTAATAAACAATTTGGATTGTTCACATCTGAGACCGTGTATCAGATACTGCAGATCTCAGTGCCCCGCGTGATGAATCCTGCCAAACAGCCCCCGTGTGCCCCTTGCTCTTCTCAGGGACCAAGCACTGTCTGTTATTCCAAAATGTCATCACGTTCTAGTAGTGTTCCACGCGGGTCCTTCGCAGTTGGGTTTCTACGACGCCATCCAGGAAAGCCCTTTCCTCCCAGCCGCGCAGGGCCTCGCTCCCACCGCTGAGCGCCGTGCTGCTGGAGTGGAGCGGAGCTGAGCCGAGCTGAGCTGCTGCTTCGGCCACAGCGCCGGGGGCCGCACAGCACCTCGGCGGCCGCCCCGGTCCCGGTCGCCTTTTAAAGCGGGTTCCCCGTCGCACGGGAAGACACCCGGGCGGGTCTAGGTATTTCCAGACAAGGAGGCTCCGCCTGCCCTCCACCAGGCCGCGCAAGGCTCCGGCACCCTGACAGACGTTTCTCCACCGGCGGCGGCCGGCGCGGGCCAGCGGCTCCGGGCAAAGATGGCGGCCGCTCCCCGGAGCGCCCCGCGGGCAGCGGGCCGGGCTGCGGCAGCGCCGCGGGCGGGAAGGCGCCGAGGTCGCGAGGGCCCCTCGCGGAAGGCAGATCCTCGCCGCCGGCAGCGGCGGGGCGGCGACGAAGGGGAGCGGCGACGAAGGAGAGCGGCGACGGCAGATCGGGGAGCCGCCCCGGGCCCGCGCAGCGGAGCCCCCCCCCGCCGCGGCGCGCTCGGACGCAGGCGCGAGCGGCGCGGGGCGGGCGGTCACGTGGCGCGCGGCGGAGCGGCGGGAGGCGGAGCGGCGGCGGCCTG